TTTTTTTAATAGTGATTAACTTAAAAAATATAAAATATAATTTTTGTTTTTCATATTAAATCAAAATTAATTTATTATAAATGTATTCTTTATCAATACAAAGAGATTGATGAAGATCGTTGAAGAGCTTCAATGACCTTTATTTTTTTCATAAACCGATGAGAAGATTGATGAAGATATTCGATCAATCTTCTCATCAGTTTATCAAATATTTTAATTTGGTTTTTAATTTAGAAACATTAAAAATTATTGAAATTGTATGTACTTAAGAGCATTAAGAAGAAGATCAAAGCTTGTGGAAGTAACAGTTGTATATATTCAATGTGAAACTTTGTTTATTATGATATTCAATATATATATATATATTATATAAGAACCATTTGTGAGCTACGAAAGAATGTCTAGAACGTGAAATAAATCCAAATTTGTTTCTGACAACATTTGAAATATGAGCTTACTCGTCTAAAGTATAGGTGGAGAATAAATGGGGATTTTGGATCCATTATAAGACATTGCAGAAGAGATCCATTGCAAGCACTATAGATAGATTAATGGTCAATTGTACCCATGAATTTTAATAGTCGAAAATCTAAAAAGAGTTATAGAACCATCTTAGAAATAATGTTGCCCTTAAACTAAATACAATCTCCTATTGTAAAAAACTTAAGATTTCTTTTTGTTTATTAAAATTAAATTATTATACGTTTAAATAATTTTATGATAATTTAATTTAATTAGCATAGTTTAATAAATTAAGAAAATTACTGAATCAACTGGCAACAATTTAATTTAAATAAAATTATTTATTTTAATTACTTGCCCTGTTTGATTGCTTGTTTAATTAGAAATTCGCGTTAGGATTGCTAAAGGGGCTATTTTTAAATAAATATTTCATTTTTATTGATATTAATTCTTTTATTACACTATATTGATATCGATTTTTTAATGTTCGTTAATGGTTTTACATTATTAATTCCTATGTCCATTGTTGTGCTAATTTTAATTCTATAATGCCCATTACTGGCTTTATAATTTTCCAACGTTTATTGTTAACGTTTTTAATTATTTTATGTTAGTTTTTTTCTAACATTTTTTACTACTATAATTTTAATTCTTTAATTCACACTATTGGGTTAAGTTTAATACTTGAACGTCCATTTATGAGTTAATTTTGATTCTTCAATTTGTTGATAATTTTCTAACGTTTTCTATTTGTATTTTTAGTTCTTTTACATCACTTATAAATGCTATTGTTAATTCTTACAACGTTATTTAATAGTGTAATTTTGATTCTTCAAACTCCATTATTAAGTTTATTTGCATTCTTCTGCTCTATTATTGGGCTAATTTTAAAATTTTCAATATATATCATTGGGTTCGTTTTAATTTTTCAATTTTCATTTTGAATTATTTTTAATTTTTGGATTCATTGTGTTCTTCTATCATCAAAGTTCTATTATTGAATGTATTATTAAGTTTAATAATGAAGCCCATTAATAATGGACATTAACAATAAAGAATTAAATTAATATATAATTAAAATTATTTTTAAATAAAATATATTTCAAATAAAAGTTAATTTAAATAATGTGTATTTAAAATTCAATGTGAGAAGCGCTTTATTAAATTTTTATAGGATATAAATTAAAAATTTATTGTAAATTCAGTCTATAATAACATTTATATGTATAAAAAAATTTTTCAACAGGATATTTTATGAAAGGTTCACTTAATGAAGAATTATTTTTGGAATAAATGTTAATCTTCTGTGAAACATGATCTAGAATCCAAGTAAGAAAAATGATGAGACGGAGCACCCTGCTGTGGTGAACATTATTGATAAAATAATACGCACTTACTACACTCTTGCTTCATTAGCTTCTTAGCTACTGACTTATATCGTTATTTAAGGATACTAGGAGATTTCTGAATAGTTCTACTACTAATACTATACTATATTAGGGAATAGAAATTCATTACTAACTCTACAACATTACTATGATGTAGTAGATTTATAATGCAATATTGTAGTAAATTTATTTAAATAAAACTTTTAAGATAAAATAAATAAATAAAATACTCCTAGAAACATAAATTCTCTTTTTCATATATTATTAAATCAATTGTAAATGATACAGGGTTTTCAAAATCTCATATAACTCACGGAAAATAAGATTAATCACTTAGTGCTCGTAGTCTCGATATTTTTGATGTTCAAAGACTAATAACCTCCATATCATATAATTTGAACCCCTTGAATTTTTGGGTGGTTAATTAAAGAGTTGTGCTTATAACAATCATCTTCACTCACTCACTCATTCTCCCAACTTTGGGCGAATATTCAAAGTATCATGAATAACCTATCCATAGAAACCTTACAGAAGGTTACTCGCAACATGATCAAATGCGTTTGGCCAAGGTGATGATCATGTTCAGCATTTAATGTAAAAATAAACGATCACCCATAGGTTGCCTAGCTCTTTGAAGATTATGAATTAACAACGATTGGTTATTTACTATATTATCTAAGAGGCGATTGGTTCTATTTTGAATTATTCTGACAGATAGTTATGTTTCGTTGAGCTTTTCTAACGTCAATTGGTTTAACCGCTAAAAGAAAAGAAGAAAAAGCAGAAAAACGACAGTTGGTTATATATTGGATTATCTATACCATCATTGGTTAGTTTTGAATTATTTTGTCGACTATTGGTTATATATTGGATTATCTAAATGGCGATTGGTCAGAATTTGAATTGTTCATACTACAATTACTTATATTTTATTGAGCATTTATGACGACAATTGGTTATGTATTGGATTACTTTTATGACTATTGGTTAATTTTGAATTATTTTAACGACTTTTTGGATATTTATTGGTTCTTCTAAACGAAAATCTATTACATTTCGAATCGTACTAAAGCTATGTTATGTCAAGGTTAGTTTCTTAAACGGCTAAGTCCATTTGTAAATAAATATTAGCTAAGCTTACGCACTTTTCTACTTTTTTAATTGTGATTGTTATAAATTTCTAAACTAGTCACAAAACAGAAAGAAGGGATGAAAATTGAAGCCTACATTCACAGCCATTATATTTCATACCTACAATAAATGGAGTTGGACAATTTTGAAATTATACGCCTCAAACATTAGATTATCTAAAAAGTTAACAAAGTTTAGTTATGAATTAGATTATTTAAATGGTTATTAGTTATATTGGCGATGGAGTTTTTTTAATTGATCTACAATTGGTCACATTTTGAAAGTGTCTAAACGGCAATTGATAGATGAAATAAAATCGGGCGTGAATGTATTTATTCCTCTCAATTTTATTTTAACCAATCGTTATCAACGATGCAACATTATTTTCTATCAGTTCGTTTATAAGATGTCAATTTCATAAATTATTTTTTAAATAAATTGTTTTATTCTTAATATCTTTCATATATTGCAGAGGACGAACTATGTTTATTCGAACTTTATCTTAATTCTACACAATACATTTCCCAAAATTATTATATGTAATCTATGGATTTATTGTCAATTGATATACAGTGTAATAATTTATAATTCATTGCTGATATATAATTTAAGTTTAAATGCTTAGATTATACACAAAATGTCGATTGGAGTAATAATTTTATTTTGTAATAATTGTAATTGAAACAATAACCACTTACAAAGTATTTTACATAATTCATAGCAGGAAGATTTTTTTTTAAATTTATTACTCTCATTCTCCAAAATTATTTTTAAACATTTTATTTTTACTAAATACTAAATGTCTTACAGCTATTTTCATCATTTTTCTTATGTAATATGTTCATAACTTATAGAATGAGGTCAAAAGTCAACTTTTGTAGTATAATTTAATTAGCAACCATTATAACTGTCACAAAACATCGAGTAGCTGCTTTGTTATCCTATATTTTCTTTTCCCTTTTTTTTCTAAGTTTGCTGATATGTCAGATGTAAGTGAAGAACATTTTATATAAACTCTTATATTACACCTCAAGATATTGAGTACATTCTTTTCCAGGAATACCTGTCGATATTTTTCCAAGAATCTTCTATAATAAATTATCATCACGACTATTTATAAGATATATTGTCTACACCGTTTGTGTTTTACGAAAATAGGATTCATCGATTATGTGGACTCCGAGTGATGTGAAAATGACCACCATTTGGAGTTGAATAGAGTGCTTCACTCGACTATCAATATTCCAATTGATAGTATCACAATACCTCTTTCTCTTCAGAGAAGGGTAGATAAAGTAGAAATGAGATATAAAACTTAAAAGAACTGTTGGTTGACGTACATACAAGCAATTAATTTTACGATTGTTTGAGTCATTTCAAGGTTCACGTTTTTATTATTATACTTCGTATTCGAGAAAAAAAAGTCCAAACAATTAATTACCTATCAAAGAAAATTATCCATTATCATGATAGAACATCTTATGGTAGATTTATTACGTAGCAGCTCTATAGTTATCGCCATTTTTTCCAACACACGATTGGATTAGTTCTCTTTTCCTTCCATCGATTTGTTGCACATCTGGGCCGTGTTGTGATTGAGTTTCCTTATTTATCCATCGGGAAATGTAGCATCTATATATCATTCCGTATTCTCACAGCCGCATCTTTCTCTATAAGTGTATTCAGTTAATTTATGTATAAGAGAGCGAATAATTAACTTTAATAGGATTGTAGAAAATTAAACAATATTAAATCCCTTAAGATTATATTAAACTTTTATCTACAAATACATTTAAACTTAAGATTTATTTACATTTTTATATTGTTAATTCAATATCATAGTCATTGCAATGGTATTGTCGGCAATATTTACTATAGCATTTTTGTAATTAAAACTGTTATTTTAAAGTAATTAACTTTATTTTATAGTAAAATAACTTAAAATTTATATTAATTTATTAGGATATTTTTTATAACATTTAAATTGATTAAATTTATCATTAATTTTTTTTTTCTCAGGTGGCCAAACTTCAGCATAAAAGCGACACCAGGCGACAAACAAAAACAATTAAAAAAAATGGATCCAACTACATATTTGTACAGAATTTTAGAACAAAATGGAAGTAAAAAGAAATTCTTTTGGTTTTTTGGGGGTTTTTTTTGAAAATATAAACTATCGCCATTGGATAAAAGCCAACATCCATCATTCAAACTTAAAGGAAGAATTAGATACAGGATTTAAAAAATTAAGAAATTAAATATTAAAATCGTTTTAAAAATATACTTTTCAATATAAAAATTAAGAAAAAATTAAAATAAAATGGTAAAGCGAACAAATTAAAAAATATATATATATATGTATATGTTCTATATAAGTTATATACATGTAAAATATCATTAGACTTATATAAACTCGTGTTTATATTGGGTTTAAGATAATAAATCACTCGCCATCTGGAGAATGCACAAGTCTGAATAAAATAACTTTTAACAGGAAAAATACTCAACAGACTTATAAAAAAAAAAAAATTATATGTTTCACTCGTTTAATGGCGAGGGAAGATATGCATAATCTCTAGCAAACATTTATGTATAATGTTGAAGCATAAAAAAAAAATGATAACTTTATACAATTCGCTTTATCTATTTAGTTCATTTTATCTGATGTATATATACTGTATATGCTTAAAAACCGTTAAAATTTCATTATATAAATCATGTCATATATGTATATGTATATATACAAACAGACAAACGGACGTGCGTTTGTTAAATTTATATGCAAAGTTACCTATAGAAGAACAATTGCATTGTTCTGTATGCAAATTAGGTAAGTCTAGAATCAATTATAGGGGGGGTACGTTTTGTGTGATGTTCTTTTTTGTGTTTTTAAGACTATTTTTTTTTAAATTAAAATACACTTTTTTACTCTTTTCCTGATGTTTAAGTTACAAAAGTGTAAGTTTTATATTTAATTTATAATGCCAAAAGACATATCCGATACAAACACAACATTTTCCTCCCTATAATAGATAATGAAATCACTCTACTAAGCTCGAGACATTTCTAGCTATATAATTTAGAAGGCACGTCCTGTTGTCTGTTTGTTACTTATACAAGACATCATGACATACCAAAAAAATGAAGCATATCATAATAATTAAAACATTGTTGATTTTTAATTATCATATATAGCTGTGGATAATACGCACTTTGTGTAAAGTCCCCGTCTCCACATCCATATATCTTCCATGCATCGTATATCTCTGGTTGCCTACGTTTGTCGATAAAATCTGAATGGTTTCGGGATATATAATTGATATACTGCAGTTAGCAGGACGTCCGTGATTTCTTAACGTATAAACTCCCGCGGGAGAATATAAAACGGCATTACAAGCTGGAAAAAGTTTACTTATTTAATTTATTATTTTAATTTATAAATTGATTTAAAACTATTAATTAACTACATAAAACATAAATTTGATTAATTATATTCATATAAAAATCATTAGCGATAAAAAATATATGTATAGAAAATAAGATCAAAGGACAATTAGAGATTAAGAGTTCGAGTCAGGACNGGTGATGTAAAATGATAAAGTTAATTTCTTTCTTTATTTATTTAATTTATAAAAATTTGGATACCTTGACCCTGTAGGAAATGGGATATTTAAATATATCAGATAATTCTCCCACTGTACATAAGAAAAAAAATTATGGAGAGGGAGATTATTTTTCTGTCTTTATAACTGAACGGGTTTCATCTTAATTACCCCCATTAAAAACAACAACAGGCAACAACAACAACAACAACAACAAAATGAAAGCTTCATCTCTTATCCCTGTATTTCTCTTTATCATTCTGTATGGCATATACATACATATATATATAAATAAATATATGTACATAAAATATATATATGTATGTATTTGTATCCGTTGTGAGTAATTTCCAAAACACAAAAAAAAAAAAAACGCGCGCGTATATATACTGTGTATATGGTGTTTTTTTGTAAAATTAACAAATACCCAAATTGCAAAGTGTGGTACTTGGTGCTGCTCTAAATGGGCGACAATCAGGTTTCTAAAATAAAATTTTAAAAAATTAAAAAAATTACTAATCTCTCTTCTGTGTTTTTTATTTTATTTAAAAAATAATTCATATACAAAAATCTTTAATAAAGGCGCTCAAAAGGGATCCATATCTATAACAAGGGCGCACAAAAGAGGTTTTAATACACCAAAGGAGCTCAAAAGGAGGTGCTAACAGTCGTAGTTAAAAGGTCGCGAAAGCAGGGTTAATATTCATTAAAGGGACTCAAAGGGGTTATTAATATTCATATCTTTAAAGGCCTCAATGCAAGCTGGTATTTATAGCAAAGGCATATTTTTAAAGGCACTCAAAGGGGGAATGGCATTTGTAAGACACACAAAAAGAGTTAATGTTTGTAACTTCGCTTAAAATTAGTGTGGAATGATAAGTTAGTAAGACACTACTATAAATATATGTCTTTTTTAAAAAAAAGTTTAATTAATTTCGCTAATATTTAGTAACATTCTAGTGTAATTCTGTATATAAAAGTTACAGAAATTAATTTCAGCGACAATATTTTATTTTAATAATTACGTGTAAGTAACAGGAACACGAAAATAAAATTAAAAAAAAATTGGTAATATTTCGTGAATAAAATATGCTTAATTTATTATTATTATTGTTATATTTTTTTAAAGTTTTAATTAAACTTTGCAACATCAATGTAACATTCATAGTACTAAATTCATGTAACTGTTCATTACCGTGTTAAATGTCTTATGCCTTTGCTATACTAAATTTAATTTAATTTAATATATTTAAAAATTTATAAAATATATTTTTATTTATTAAAACACAAATTCAATAAAACAAAAAATTTATTTAAATTAAAATATACTTTTTAAACGTTTTATTTACGATATTATACTCGTAAAAAGTGTATTTTTAACTAGAAATTTTAATTTTACAACTCTCTAAATAAAATGAAATCTGTCTAAAGCGGACACTCTATAAAACGAAGCCATTTCCTTTTGTAAAAATACTATTATTATAAGATAAAAACCTGTTTAATAAATGACTTTTTAAACATAACCCTCTGTAACATGGAAATTTGGAAACGAGAATATTGGCCGATAAATCTTTTATCCTATTAAATTTTATGATAGAATTATAATGTATATAACACACATTATAATTATAAAATGTCCTAATTCAAAAAATATATAAGTTATACTGTAGATTATATAGTAATTTGCATTTTTCTACAACACTACACTACTCTATCTGAATTTATATTTTCAATTATATTTGTATAGAATTTTTATATCCAAAATGTCTGGATATTTTATTTAGAATATTATTTAGAATGTCAATGGAAATTGTCTAGAATTTCGTCAATTAAGTTAGGTTTTATCTAGAACGTCAGTGACACTTTATCTAGCATTTGATCAAGCATGCAAGAGACATTTTATCTACAATTTCATGTAGAATGTCAATTACATTTTATCTTGTCAGTTACTATATATTTTGTCAATTACTTAGAATTTAATCGCTAGAATTCTAGATAAAAAAGAAAAAAGTGTAACTTACATCTTAAATATAATATACGTTAACGTAAATTTAATTCTAGAATAAATATAACTGATAAAATACAACGAAGAATCGTATTTAAGAAATAATATTTGATCAAATATTTTGCAAATGAAGCATATATTTAAAAAAAAAAACTAACTAAAATATGCTTAATTACAAAATGTGTTATATATAACTGATACAAACTAAAATATCATTCAGTAAGTAGTAATTCTTTTTACATTTTATTTTATAGTTAAGTTAGAAAGAAAGACACACCACACTTATTTTTAAATGCTTACTAGTTAAATATTGACACACGCTCTTCATTCGCCCTAGTTTATTTAAGATATAGTGTAAACATCATCATTTTCCACCCTGTTCTACAATCAACAGTTCGTATAGAAAGTCCCATATCTAGAATTATTTTAGGATAAATACATAATGGATTTATTTATATAAATCTCAAAGAAAACAAGTCATTTTCTTCTCTTCTCTAAAAGAAAAAAGAAAAAATTATTCTCGATCGTTCAAACGATACACTTCTTAACCTCTTCCACCACTTCAATAGTAATCGGAAGAAGCGATAAGTTAACACAAAAACAAAGAAAGGTTTTCATTTATTACTGAATGGATGCCTTATTATTCTTAATACGTTCAATTTTAAAATGTTTTCTTGCCAAGTATACAAAATAACTTTTTATTTCGTCTTCCGTTGTAATATTTATAGACATAATTAATTTTTATCTGAACTTCCATTCATTGCTAAGTGCGAGAAGGGAGAGCAACTTAATTCTTTGAAAGATTAATAGTACATTCTTTACTCCCGGGATAATGGCTAGAGAATGGAAACCCTTGTTTTATATGTAGAGGAGGAAAAGAGAAATATTTCATTGATACAAATGGAAGAAAACCTATCCCAAATGTCAAAATGTATACGCCAGAGTAAAGGGCAACGACCTTGAGGCGCAAAATATCGGCTCTTATCCAATTAGGTTATTATTATCGTCACGAATTCTAGAATTTTTATCAAAGTCTCATTATGTGACGATTTTACGCCACTTAATGCTCATTTCCTTTAAATTTTAACTCAAATTCCATCAAGCGATAGTTTTTCAATAATTAAAATTTTTGAATTTGGAATTTATTTATATTTAGCCCATGCCTCGTATAAGGACGCATAAATTTAGTAATTTAAAGTAAAAATTTTAATCGAATCTTCATATCCTGTACATACAAAAGGTTGCATTTCTTAAGAATTTTAATGTTATAAAATTTTAAGCTAAATTGTGGATTTCAACTCCTTAAATTATTGCACAAATGACAATTTTTTAACTTCTCATCTCCACACGCTTAAGTTCTATCAAAGTCTCATTATGTAACGATTTTACGTTACTTAACGTTGAAAATTACGGGTTACACCCCTCATGAAAACACGAGCCCGAGGCTAAATTTAATCAATGTTAATATTGATACGAGTCGAGGGGTAGGCGAAGAACGAAAGAATAACATCTCTTAATGGTCTGAGTTGCTGCTTTCCCTAGTCTAGCAATGCTTACAGTAAGGCGTAATTGTTTGCAAGAGGGGCCTCACCGTCCAAGTTTTTAAGCTTCCCCATCTGGGAACTTCAGCTTTAGCTGGGTCATTTAATAGTTACGGTTCACGTCCTTAAATTCTAACCACAGACCTTTAGAATATAAGGGGGGAGTTTAAAATCCTTTCAGGTAAATTCATACCCCCGTTTCCAAGCTTAAAATTGTTTAAAAGTTTGAATTTATATCGTCATATCTCTTAAACAAAGAGGAAAATCTCATAAAGATAGTTAAAACAATACTAACATTGTTAACTAGAATAAAAATTGAGGGAGATAAAAACAATAGAAGTAATATAAAGTCGAACAAATTTAGGACGAATGATATATATTTTTATCCTATTGTAAAATATATTTAATAAAGAAAAAGCGTTACATATCAGCTATTTTCATTTAATTATTTAACATTGCCTGTCTAGTTTAGTTTTTTCCCCTCCCTCTCTCTCTCCTTTTTCTGGTAATGACAAGAGGTTGGGTGTAGTTTCAATATAAATGTCTGGCTGGGTAGCCATGTTAATTAGTGAGACAATTAATGTTTGTGGTGAATAACCTGTTAATTCTTTCAGGCCAGGATGTGTTTTGTGATAGAACTTCCTTACAAAAAAAGTTAAATATTTCCTTCCTCTGCTGTCACTTCCCATAAAATTACGACAATGAAAAAGTTTTCCTCCCCTCCCTCTCATAATCTCCCGATTTTTTCTGAATTGTTAGAGTAGGATCCAGTTTTGCTCTCTTAAATCATCACCTCGAGTATATTTTAATGCATTTATCCTATAAAATGACTCCTGGAAAAGTTCGGTGTTGATTTATCGACTTCTACTTTAAAAAACCCCAAAAAATGTGTGTACTTTTTTTTATCTCTTCCCTCTCACAATCTCGCCATTTTATTCGAACAGAATTATTTTCTTCTCTTAAATCATCATCTCAA